TCGCCAGAGCCCAGCAGATCGGGGCTGTGGTGGCCAGGAGCAGCCACTGCACTCCAATCTAGGCGACAGAGTGAGACTCCAACTCACAACAACAACAACAACAACAAAAAAGACCTCAAGGAGGGATGGGGAAGGACTGCAGGTGGGCATAGTGGGGGCCATGCTGATAATATGTAATCTCTTGCTCTTGACTGCTGGTTCCTGACTGTGTTCACTTTGTGAAAATTCATCCAACTGTTTACTTAGGGTTTGTGCATGTCTCTGTATTTACATCATGCTTCCTTAAGGAGTTATCAAAATCACTCAGACCAGCCCGCTTTCTAACTGTAATTTCTGATCCTCTTCACAGCTCCTGGCCTCTCCCCACTCCTAGGGCGAGGCATGGCCTTTTCCAGTCCACGGAGCAGCTAAAGGCAGAAGAGCAATGTGTGCTTCACGCACCTCTCACCTCCCCCTTCTAGGTCCCAGCTTCTCTGGTGCCTTGGGGGTAGACAGAAATGAGAGGGACAGGGAAAGTGTCTCTCTAGTTAACTGGAAGAGGAGGCCAATCCTGCTTGCTCAGCTTCAACTGCAGGCCTCACTCCAGGCCTGTGGCATTCCCTTCACACGGGGGCTCATTCCCAAGTACCTTTTCTACTTATTGGTATTTGGCCACCTCTCCTCGTATCCATCAATGTAGTATCCTGCAATGTCCCCAGTTCCCACCCCATGCCTCTGAGGTTGCAGTGACAATCCTGTGGTGCTATCTTCCATTCAACCAAGAAAGAGAATAGTGGTTATCCAGGGCTTCTCTGTCACACCACTGCTTTCCAGTTCTCTTTCTCCCTGGTTGAGTAGTTTGGGGGCAATTCAGCAAGTTTTCTATCAAAGCAGACTTCCAATTTGAGAGGGAAATGCCAGGCTCCCCTCCTTCTGAACATTCCTAATCTAACCTTGTATTTCTCCTGGAGTCCCCATCCTGTGGCTTTTTTTTTTTTTTTTTTAAAAGCAAGGGGAGAACCTTGCTTTATGAATGGGAACACACCAAAATGCACAATAATCACTTTGCTTCACATGAAGTAGTCTCGTGACTAGTAAGTGACAAAGGCAGGACTGAAGTTTTGGGGACTTCAGAAAAACATACCTTGTTCTGGTTTTAAGAACTATTGATTTTTAAATTGTGCCTATCCTTGTGGTAAATGTACTTGCCTTTGAATGCTTTGACATTCACCTTCTCTCTATAAATAGCATGAAATAAATCAACAGTACCACCTTAAAAGTAATCATATTCAATTCCTAACTGGAAACAAAATCACTCTCAAGAAAGTAACCTTTCCAGTTCCAATGTCAGCATTTGCTTCAAAGTACCTTGAAGAGTTTTCACATGGAACCCTTTTCCAGAAACTGCCACAGGGGGGTCTCCTGTTTTTCTATTCTTGTTCCCAACATACTCTTTTGCTCTTATCATTCTCATTTTGCAAATTGGAGCTAATTGTGAGAAATTGAGGACACATTATTTGGCAGCTTGGGAGTTTTCCATTTCTTTCAGGAAATATGCAACTAAGCTCTCCAAATAAATGAATGCTTAAGTAGGACTCAATCATTCTCTTCTAAGGCAATCTATTTTTAGTTATTTGGCAGACTGCCTGTGTCACAGGGCTGCAAACACATTATGAAGATAGTTTACTCTACAAATATGTTTGCTTGTTCCTGATGAGGTATACGGAAAATGTTCAAGTACTTTTTCATTTTTCTCCTTTGAATTTTTCTCAGAATGTGATTTGTATCTCTAGTTCTGAGACTATTTGAATAACTACTTCACAACAGCTTCCAAAACCATATATTTCAATAACAAAATTGGTTCAGATGGAATACAGTTGTCTAAATTCCAAGTATTCAAGATAAAAACTAATTTTTTATTTCTTTTTTGCGATTTTTACCATATCTAATTCCAACAAATATTTCATTTACTAGTTTATTATTCAAAAATGCCACCAAACGGTTTATAATCCCCAGTGCACATGGAACAATCTTTATTCTCTTTACTTAAGTTCTAAAATAATATAAAGCCATATATTCTTCCATAGCACTTATTAAAGAAAATTCACAAGGAAATTAATTTTGAACTAAAATATAGGAGACTAGCAGAATTAATGAAGTTTTAAGTAAACAAAGGTAATAGGAAAAACTATTATAATACATTTCCTGAAAATCTAAATATAATAAAAGTGAATTAAAATGAATATTCTTGAGGAGATGAGATACAGTCAATGAGCTGTGTTAGACACAATGAACTGTATTGCAGTAGATTAGAAAAAAGGCCCCTTTGATTCCTTAGGGGAAGGAAAGCTGAGGTAAAGGTGACTGGTGGGAGGCAGAGCCCCTGCTAGGGAGGTTGTCCCAACCTGGAGACAGAAACTGCCACAGTGGGGTCTCTTGTTTTTCTATTTTTCTATTCTTGCTCCCAACACAGTCTTGGTCTTCTGCTGCTAGGGACCAGCAGGCACCTGAGATACATAACCACTTAGAGGAAGGTTAAGCCAACATATGAAGAGACCACCAGCAAAATGACATAAGAGCAGAAGACTACGTAGAGATTTGGGCAAGAATGGAAAAAAGTTAATCCTATTGGAATGGAAAAGACAAGAAAAAGGAGTCAGGATAATGATAATGAGGCTTAGCTGTCAAATCATGGTCAGTCCATGATGAGTCATTTTAAGCCTAACACTTAGAATAGTACTAATCTTTAGTTTTAGCTTAAAATAGCCAATGGGGGCAGGGGAGAAGCACAGTTCTACAAACTCATATCAGCAATTGTAAAATCCCCTCAATTCTAAAAACCAAGCTTTCCTTCAAATTTGATGCAAACTTGTTTGGCAGCAAAGCATGGTCAGGACTCAGGTTAAGCAATTTAGTATTTTTATTTGTATTTTCACTTAGGGTGAATATTTATATGTTTACTATAGAAGAATCTCAATGGCTGATTGTGGGAGACAGTTCCAGGCCCCACCAGGAGTGCTGTGTAATACACAGTATGCAGATTGTATAATTTTTCTAACTTCCAAAAGCTATGGAATTCTGAAACGTGTCTGGCCCAAGCATTTGAGTAACAGATTATCAACATGTATCCACACTTTATTTTCATCAAGTTTGGTGACCAGACCACTGTACTAAATATAGCTTAGTACAAAGCAGCAAAGTTTGAAAAATTACATAACGTGTATTCTGAGAATACCTACGGACTGAAGACGGGATCCAGTGATCCATCTGGCGTTCCAGACATAACACCAAGGACCAAAGACAATGTTTTATACTTGTATACATATAATTGACAAAATAAACAAAGAAGCTTGAAAATCAAAACTAGTAACATAGTCAAGCTTAACTCTAATGAGTTATCTGCAAATGTAATTGTTTAAACCACAAAGACATGTCAAATAATATGTATTCCAGAATATGAAATTCTAGAATAAAAAAACTTTCCAAAAGATTTCACAGCCAAAAATATGTATATTTAATGAGAGAGGTGATGTTAGGTACAGCTTCCAAAAGGAGTGCCCAGGACTTATGAAAGTTTAGCTTCCACCCTGACTGAGTTTTTTCTGTCCTTCCTTGTTTTTGACATTGCTGACGATAGTTCACAGTAACTGAATATGCTAGCAGAATCAAAAAATTTAACCTCGGGTTGAGACTTTTATGAGTCAATTAGCTAACTTACTGATTAAATGTTATCTATTTTCCCAACAAACATTATCTGACCAATGAACAGCAAAGGCAATTTCTGGTTTGAGTTTAACACTTTCACAAAATTTTGTTCTTGATTTTTCATATCCCTAGCTTTAAATACATGGTATCTGGCTGCTAACAGTGGTGTCAAAAGAAAACTCATGGTTAGAATCATGTAAAAACTACTGGTTCTGGAATGTCACTGTCTACATTATTACAGAAAGACTTATTTACCAAATCTGGATACACTATATGTGTGCGTGGGAGTGTGGGGTAGGGATGTGTGCATTGTATGCACACATTTATACATATATATATATAGAGGAAGGAAATAAAACTGGGAAATTAACATGCACTATTCTCACCCCGCCTCTTTAGCAATAATTGAAAAAATATGTCATTGACCTTATAACACTATGCTACTTGCAAATTAAATGAATATTATTTTAGGAGATTGAATAAGTAAAGATATTTGAGCTACAGAATGAATGAACTCTATTTAAGAGATTGTATTCTGGCTCCAGACTTAAATTTAAACCACACTTACATGGGTGTTGACTACTATAAAGCCTTTTTAAGAGTACACTTAATTAAGGAGCACAAAGACAAAAATAATGCACATGAACAACAGGAGAAAACATTTTTAACATTCTCTTGCCAATACTGACTTTGTTGGACTTTACCATGAAGATGATGTATCTATGAGAACATCAAAACTATTACCGAAAGTTTTAGAAAGCCTTGCCCAAATTTACAAGTTAATTAGAAAACAGATTTTCAGATCATGCTTAACTTGAAACTAAAGAAAAGAATTATGTTTTTCTTTAACCAAGTCACATACCTCCCTGAAATGTGTGACAAATGTAATCCCCAAAAGAAATCTCTTTCCACAGTCCAGGCCTTCTGACACTTTCTGAAACTTCAAAATTCTTCTCATTTTCCCCAGTTAATTGAAGCATTCTGATGCTTCGTCTCTGGAGGTCTTATTTCTTTAGATAAGACCGCTGTTGTCTAGTGTCTTCCAAGTTGTCTAGTTTATTGGAATCACATAGCATAAGTCTATTTTGAAAGAGAATCCTGGATGCAAATGGAAATGGATACTAGTTAAAGAATGATGTAATCCTGGAACCCCTGTGAACACTAAAAATACATAGGGAAATTCTGAACTCTGTTTATGAATAAACACTCCTCTATTAAGTGACAATCCCAGCAGTGACAGGAATATCTGATTCATTTACTTTTGCAGCATCTCATTACAATTTAAGTGAATCTTTCTTGAAAAAACTGGAAGCTGGGCTCGGTGGCTCAGCCTGTAATCCCGCGCCTTTGGGAGGCTGAGGTGAGTGGATTGCCTGAGCCTGCGGGTTCGAGACCCGCCTGGGCAGCGAGACCTCATCTCTACAACAAATCAAAAAATCAGCCGGGCATGGTAGTGCATGCCTGTAATTCCAGCTACTCGGAAGGCTGAGGCGGAAGGATCGCCGGAGCCCAGCAGGTCTAGGCTGCGGTGGCCGGGAGCGGCCACTGCACTCCAGTCTGGGCGACAGAATGCGACTCTCACTCAAAAAAAAAAGAAAAAAGAAAAAACTGGAGACTAATCTCTAAAAAGCATGAGACTTTAAAATGTTTTACCCAAATCTTGGCATTGCAGATTAGAATAACCTTTGTCTGTGATGCTTTGCATGGTACTACATGCAAATAGGTTTAGTGAAGAGCTTTTCCTGACAGCAACTAGTAGTCAATTCCAGTTGCAAATAACAATACAAAAATACACATAGAATGCCCCATCTGTTGCTTTAAATCAAATTTATTGGCCATTCTATTTCCTGAGGAAATGTGGCCTTGTTAGAATGCTCTTCATTCTTAAAGTTTAATTTTAAATATCTTTTTAAAATCCTACATAAGTAATCCTTTTGACCAGCAGAAATGTAGTTTCTCAAAATACTGTTAGTAAGCCACTATTCTATTTACTTCTTAAATAATAGCTGCTAACAGATCTAACTTGCAAAAAACAAATCTGAAACTCCTTCTCAAATTAATGCAGGCAACAACATTTATTACTTTAAAGATAATTTTTAAAAACTACCCACTCAAGATCAAAGTATAAATAAAATCTACCTTCTAGAAATACTATTCATGTGAATTATCTAGAAGGGGTTCTGTTAAAGTATTGGGAGCAAATTCATATACTTTTACCTGAAATTCCACCATAGATCTCTTCTGCTATCCTAGCTGCTTCTTTTCTATTTCCTTTGACGATATAGAAATGGGTTAGGAGAGCCAAAAAAACTTTAATTAAAAGCTTAAAGAAAAAAAAGGTAGCAAACATTGTAATAAAAATGTTTTTAAAGCCATAGAAAACAGGACCATCTTCCATTTTGGCTTATGCTCTGTAAAGGGTCCTAGGACTGTAAAATTTCACCGAGTTGTAATTGGTATCATATGACATCTATTTTAAACCTTCTAGCACTCGGTGCTCCTGTTACCAAGAACTTAGTTTGTAGGTTCTAATCTAACTGTGATTTGGCAACTGCATGTGCTGACATCCACTGCAATGTTAAATAAACTAAAGAAATGTCCTTCTAACCAGAAGCATCCAGTAGTTCTAGAATTACATTACTCAGTACTATCTGACAAACAGGATTCATATCCAAACCTTTTTTTCACCTAAACTCCTATTTTTGCCATATTACATTGGAAGGCAGGGTTGGAAAGACAAAAGAAACTTTTCAGACCCTATAGTGACAAAGCAAGTTATTTGATGTTCATACAAAAGTGCAAATATACCCTATGTTCTTAGTGGGAAATACTGTTCTCTGGAACATTTCATTTTCGCTCCATTCTGAGGTTTATGGAGGATTAAGCCCAAATCTCAAATATGACTGTTAAAAACTACCCTTTATTCTAAGGCAGTATTTAATAAAAGGCCCATCTTGGAAGCCTCTCCAAGTGAAAGCATCAGACTGGAAGTGTTAGACTACTCACTTTGGTAGTTTCCTCCATGGCAAGGTCCCACACCAAGCTTCCCTCTCAATCATTCACTTCCACTTCAAGCATCAGTAAAGGTGGTGCCTCTTTCTGGAAAATGTGGGTTGCCCTTGATCATGGAAGACCCATAATGAAATAAATGAAAGAAATGCCCTAGGTTCTGGGTGAAGTACTCAAATATTCCACGATTCAATCTTCCCTAGTTTGACAATATTCTCTTATCAACCGGACAGCACAAGTGAAATCTGTTTATTTTTAATTTTCCTCATCATTCTAGGTTACTTTCTTCATTCTTGACTATCTTAGAGTTTGTACATTGTAAAAACCTATTGAAAAGACAAGCCAAAATAAAATTACATGAGCAGTCTAATAATTTTATTTAACAAATGCTTTATGCAAAAATACGGGAGTTTCTCCTAACATTCAAGCAGATTAGAATGACTACCTATAAGAGGAGGACCCCCAAAAAACGGAATTGTTTTTTAGAGGGCGGGCCCCTTGCAGTACAGGCTTCCCCTGCTAAGCAAGTATTCTAGGAACACATCAGCACGAGTGTACCAGTTAGCATTGTTGTAAGAGGCTGCATTCCATTTCAGTGAATCTTTTATTTTGGAGATTCTTTGAACACATTTGCTCATTTCAAGATGGGTGATTTACGCAAACAACCTCCCTACACTGCACTGAGTGTTCGGCAGTTTTTGACCCAAAAGAGCGTGATCCCCATGCCCCACCTACCCTGTTCACCCGATCTGGCTCCCAGCAATTTTTTGTTTGTTTGTTTCCCCAGATGAAAAAAGTCCTCAAAGAGAAACATTTTGCTGATGTGGAAGAGGTGAAACAAAAAAGTGCAGAAGCACAAAAGGAGTCAAAATGGATGAATTCAAAAACCGTTTTGAGCAGTGGAGGCTGGGCTCGGTGGGTCAGCCTGTAATCCCAGCACTTTGGGAGGCCGAGGCGAGTGGATTGCCTGAGCCCGTGGGTTTGACACAGGTCTGGGCAACTTGGCGAGACCTCATCTCTACAATAAAATCAAAAATTAGCTGGGCATGGTAGCACGTGCCTGTAGTTCCAGCTACTTGGAAGGCTGAGGCAGAAGGATGGCCGGAGCCCAGCAGGTTGATGCTGGGGTGGCCTTGAGCGTGTCACTTCACTACAGCCTGGGTGACAGAGTGAGACTCCAAATTAAAAAAAAAAAAAGATTCCTGGCTAAAATGCCCTGCACGCAGCCCAAAGTCGCTGCCGCTTCCCACTGCCCGCCCTTCAGAACTCTGGGTTTCCGCTCTGGCTGAGGCGCACAACCCCAACTCAAGCTGCCGTTGCCCCTTGGGGTTGTGGGCTCCATCCCTTCCTGGGGCACCCCACCAAGCCCAAAGCCGCCGCTGCCCACGCAGGCCCCCAGCACCCGCCCCTGAACTCTGCGCTGCCACCGGGCTGAAGTGCCCAAAGCTGCAGCCGGTGCTTGCCCCTCGGAGTTCTGGGTCCCCGCCCTGGGTTCCAGGTCCCCACCCAGCCCCATCTCCAGCCGCCACCACCCAGGGAGGCTCTAGGTGCCCGCCCCTCAGAGACACCAGCTCCATTCCTGGCTGAAGTGCCCTGCGCGGGCTCCAAAGCTGCTGCCACCACACACCACTCGCCCTTCAGAGCCCTGGGTCCCCACTCTGGCTGAGACCTCCAACCCCATCTCAAGTTGCCATTGCCCAGGGTGGTCGTGACGCCCGCCCCTCGGAGCTGCGGGCTGCATCCCTTCCTGGGGTGCCCCAACAGGCCCAAGGCTGCCGCTGCCCGTGCAGGCCCCCAGGGAACTCTGTAGCCTCGGAACTCTGCAGCCCCGCCTTGAGGCACCACCCTGGAGGCCCCCAGCAGGCCCCTATCCAGGTGCTTCCTAGCTCCAGGTCTGCCCCTGTCCCATGCTGAAGCACCCAACCGCCTTGAGCTGCCACTGTCTGCAGAGTCACTAGGCGCCAGCCCCTTAGAGCTACAGACTTCCCCTGACTGAAGCATCCCACTTAGCCCCAAGCCTACATGCTCAGGGAGATCCAAGGCTCCTTCCCTGTGGAGCTCTGGGCTCCCTTGGTAGCCACACCACCTTTCCCCCTAGCCACCCTGACCACTACGCTGACCAACAACGCCCGGATGTCTCACACTCCACTTCCCCCAACTCGCCCCTGACTACAGCGGGACCAGAGAACAGTCAGAGCCCTGTGACCAGGCAGAGACCTGCAGTGATTCACCCACCCAGCTCTGCCTAACCTCCAGCTTGGGAGCTAAGACCTCATGGTTGTGTAAGGAACAGTACATCTTAAAAAGTTGGTCAGCTTGCCTGTCTGTATGACTGTATGTCCAACTTTGTTGTTGTCATCACTGTTTTTTGTTTGCTTGATTGTTTTTATTTTTGTTTTCTCTGACTCTTATGTCTTCAGGTCTATTTTCATTTATTAGTGGGTACCTCTGTTTGTTCTCCCTTTTACTCTCCTATCTTCACCTTCTGCTTCCCCCTCTCCCTGTTCCATTTCTTTCCCTTTTCTTACATCATTTTACTTCCTGGGAGCAAACCAATACCACCACTTCATGATCAGATTACAAGGCAGTGGGAAGCAGGATCCAGTGTATCCATACACCTGTCAGTGGATATTGGAATCTGCAGATAAATTTTGAATCACAGCTCCCCCCTCAAATAAATCTCAAAGCTGCAAAAGGTATAACCCTCAACCTACAGTCCAGTCTCAGAATCAAACAAAGCCAGAAGATTCACATAAGGAAGAATAGGAGATTGAGCAAACGGAAACAAAAAACAACCCCACCACCCCTGAACAACAGATTTAAAGAAGACAGAGGGAGAGAAGAAAATAAAAACGGAAAAAATGGGGAGGCAAATCTACACAAATGAAGAAAAATCAAAAGAAAAATATGGGTCTCACACAGACCCCTAGGAGATCAGAAATTGAGAAAACAGACTTCGGCATGCAAACAATGAAGAGTCCTCAGAATGACTGGTCACATACTACAAACCCAGACATCAAGACAGTAATAGAATAAAAAGAATTGAGGAGAGACAAGAGGAAAATAGGAAGGAGTTGATAAATAAGGTAACAGCAGTAAAGAATACTGTGACTGAAATAAATAACAAACTAATAAGCATGGAAAGCAGACTTAGCCAAGCAGAAGACAGAATCTCAGAACTTGAAGACCAAAATATAGAACTAAACCAAACTGTCAAAAACGTAGTAAAGAAGCTTAAAAAGACAGAACAAAACCTTCAAGAGATGAACGATTACTTCAAGAGAATGAACCTAAGAGTAATTGGCCTTCCTGAGGCAGAAAGAGAGACAGAGACCACCCTGGAATAAACAGTCCACAGAATTATTCCAGAAAACTTCCCTCACCTCATTAATGATGTGAAAATTCAAACACAAGAAATTCAGAGAACCCCAGCAAGACAACAAATGAGAAGACCAACTCCTAGGCACATCATAATCTGCCTGAACAAAGTAGGTATAAAAGAAAAAAATCCTAAAAGCAGCAAGAGAAAAAGGTCAGACTAGCTCCCAGGGAAGACCAATCAGAATAGCAGCAGATTTAGCTACAGAAACCCTTCAGGCTAGGAGAGCTTGGAGTCCAATACTCAAAGTTCTCAAAGATAAACAATTTCAACCAAGAATAACCTACCCAGCCAAGCTAAGCATCATCAGTGAGGGAGAATTAAAATCTTTCCCAGACATCCAATCCTTAAGAACTTATGCTGCCTCCAGATCAACCCTACAAGAAACTCTTAAGAAAGTATTAAACACAGAAGAAAAAGGAAAAAGAACAACAATGTTCTTCACAAGAGTGCAGGAAAAAGATTGAAAACACACATGAACCAACCCAAAAACCGAAAAGACAACAAACAAACAAGTAAAACAACAACTCTATAATAACATCAAGACAAAAATAAACCCTCAGATTTCAGTAATTAGCCTGAATGTGAATGGACTAAATGCACCACTGAAAAGACACAGAATGCCAAAATGGATAAAATATCATGAGGCAACAATAAATTGTCTCCAAGAGACTCATCTCACCAGAAAGGACACTCACAGACTCAAAGTAAGAGGATGGGAAACAAATTTTCAGGCGAACTGAACACAAAAGAAAGTTGGAGTTGCAATCTTAATCTCAGACAAAATACCCTTTAAGCTATCAAAAATCAAAAAAGATGAAGAAGGTCACTATATAATGATAAAAGGTTCAATCCATCAACAAGAAATATCCATCCTAAACATGTATGCACCTAATATAGGAGCACCAATGTTTGTAAAGCAGCTTCTAGACAAACTTAAAAAAGAGATTGACTCTAATACTATCATAGCAGGGGGCTTTAATACCCTGCTCACAACCCTGGACAGGTCA